ACCAGCGCCCAGCGCTGAAGACTACAGCTACAGCTATGGCGCCCAGCGCCGAGGACTACAGCTAGCGCTAATACCACCTAGCGCTGAAGACTACTGCAGCGCTCCTCCTGAGTGCTGCGGCCRATATCCTGAAGACTACCTCGTGCCTACTGAACTACCTACCCGTGAAGTGCATGGGAACTTCCTATGTACTACCGGGTGTRCCTCCTGAGCCTGCCGAAGGGAGGCAGGGGCTGCARCTGCAGCTCCTGCTCAAACTCGTGASGAACAGGCTATTTCTGGCCTGTTCCGCATCCCTGTTTACGTGCCTGAGTCTTAGGGGCAGGTCGAAACAATGAGGGCCTGAAAATGGCCCTCCGTTTCAGGCTGAAAACTCTGGGTCTGAAAAGACCCAGAAATAGGCTGAAACGGGGTAGGGCCTGCAGGCCCTCGTTTTTCAGCWTYCAGGCTGAAACGAACGGGGCCTGTAAGCCCTAAGTTTTAGGCTTTTAGGCTGAATGTCCGGGACGGGCCCTGCAGGGCCCGTGTGGCTACGCAGTATGCCACAGATGCACTAATAAGGCTTTCAAAGTTAAAAATAGAATAACTGCCTGGCCACACCGTACTTTTACGACTACCCTCACCTTTGCTTTTTTCAGAAAGGTTAAAAATTAAAATAGAATGGGGCAACAGTAGAGAATGGGTAACAGGGATGGAAGTGGTTATAAAGGTGATAGAGGCACGGAATCAGTAGTTCTTTCTTGCCTTCGAGGTACGGAATCAGTAGGTTTACAGGCGGCTTGAGGAACTGCCACAGACGCCCCCCTCGTGCCTGGCTTCTCTCCGGGTTTTGACCTTTGGCTTGAGTGGGTGCTGCTAGTAAGCTTCCCGGTCTGCAGGCCAACCCCCTATGAAAGGCCAAGGCTTGGGGGGGGGGAGGTTCTGTAGCAGTCCCCCCTTGATAGGCGTCTAGTACCACAAGGGCGGACTGTTGCTTTCCTTTTGTCGGTTCTCCCCTCTCCCTTGGATGCATGTCAAAAACTTGCTTGCCTGTGATAAGTAACCGGACTGATGCCCCCCAAAATAGATGGGGCTTTGTTGTTGGTTAAAAGGAAAAAAAAAAGTACAGTGCACTGTTAACCCTTTCACGGTTTCACCTTCATTACACCTCCTCAGTCAATCCCCTGGCTGCCAAGGGCAATCAATGCTGGCAGGCTTCTGAACGATCCCAGATCACTCTCAGATGTTATCTAAGGGACGCAGGACCCATTTTCCAGCAGGTGCAGCTCCCCACCAATAGATCTGGAGCAACCAGACGGCTGCGGCTGCTGGGTGGGGCTGCTCTCACCATCCTCCCCGGGCAGTCAGTCCGGTTTTTGTGACCAAAAAAAAAGAAGTACAGTGTTAAACGTCTCCCCCCTCCCCACCAGGCACTTCTCCCAAGTATGCCTTCGCTTTCCTTTGCCAAACTCTCTCTCTCTCTCTCTCTCTCTCTCTCTCTCTCTCTCTCTCTCTCTCTCTCTCTCTCTCTCGGCATTGTCCAACACAACCTCTGTCTCGTCACTCTGGACGGAATACCGCTCTGTCTCAGTCTCCAAGTATAAACAATTCTGCCGCTGCAGCCTCAGCAAGCACAAATACAATCAAGCCACAACATATCGATGCAGCATAACTTGAGCACCGTAGAAGTGTAGCACCGCAAAGAGCATCAGCCTGCAGACTCCAGGTGATCAGAACTCTCTTTTCCGACATATCCATCGCCCTGGAAACCCTCAGTCCTCCCTCACACTCTCACCTAAAGCTATTGTGTTGGAGCCTCCCCGTCAGTTGCAGGCCGGGCCCAGTTGGCTATGGCTGGCAGCATGCATTTCGTCTCTACTTCTGCTGGGCGCTGTGAAGTCTCCTCCAGTGCATGAGCTCAACATCAATTCACCGGAGCAGAATGAATGCCCGAGGCCAGGCAGGGCCTGCTTTATAATGTTAATTCGCCCTTGCCCTACCTCAGATCGCCCAGAATGTGCTTAATATCGCCTGTGCGTCCCTTGGTCCATTGGCCTGCTGTGCCTCCGGAATGTGTGTGATCTGTTGATGAAATGACGTCCGTGAAATTCTTAGACTCTTCATTTACTGTGCCCGTCTTGGGCCTGACTGTTGACTTTCCTCGAGCCTGGGGTGACGTTTCCGAGCTCTGGGGGTATACTTTTGAGTCCGCGACTCCGCGTACCCCAAACCATTTGAACTGAGGGACGTCTCAGATGACTCCTGGCCCTACGCAACGATTTTTAACCCCAGAAAATTGGGATGCAGACTAAAAGACACGACCCTAGACCGCTATCCCTTGGCCCTTTGACTCAGGTTTCCTTGCATTTGTTAATTTCTCTTTCTAATCTTTCTAATTGGATGCATCATTGTTACCCGCCACACGTCCCGACTGTGATGCAGACCTGACAGTAGAGTGTCTGTTAGCTGACTGTCGACGCATAGGGCCTAGCCCATCAGGCCCAGAGAAGACTCTTTCCACAATTTCGTCTAGGCTAGGACCGAACTCAACTGCTCCTGCAGACCAACTCAAGCATCACCACACCTTGCATGCCTCAGGATGGCAGATCACTTCTCCACACATACAGGGATCGCCACGATTGACTAGTATCGTTCGACTCGACACTGGTAATTACCAACACTGGCTTTTGCTGACAACACAGTCAATACCCAGCGCATGCAATTGCATTCAGCACAGACGCAGGCTCCTCCCAACCTCGCATAACCTCCCATCAACTCACTAAATGGAGACCCACTAAATGGAAATGGAGGGTCTCCCCTACTGCAGACAGAACCTACTAAATGGAGACCCCATGCAAGCCTGCTGGTAGGGTAGGTCAATACCCAGCAGTAGGCGATTTATCAGTTGCAATCACACCGGTGAGGCTGGTGCAACTGATAACTCCCCTACTGCAGACAGAACCTACCTCAAGGCTGTTTACAGTTGGCCGATTTGAGCCCAACTCCACCATGACGCTAAAGAAGACCATGGGCCAGCCGGCAGGCTTGCATGAGGTCTCAACTACGCGGTAGGACAACCCCATTGCTTAGTTGACTTCACCCTAACCACGTGACCAAGCTCGAGCCCGGCCTAACTCCGTGGGTGGCCTTTCCCCAACACCAACAAGCTTCACTCGGATTGAACCGCAATGCCGATCAGGCCGGCACGAGGTCTCAATGGTTCAAGCGGACCACCTCACGGTTTTCACCAATGTACCCCTGCGAGTGCGCAGTTACTATGCACACCTCAGAGCAGAAGCTGCCCCGCCACAGGCTCATACATGGTGCCCATGTGCCGTGTACACACACCCATACACACGCACGTGCACGAACCTCGCACCCTTTGACCAGCATTGTTATCTTCCCCCAAGAAGGAGGAGATCAGACCCTGCAACAATTGGCAAGCCACGACAAGCCAACACTAGGACCTAGCAGCCACTAGGTCTAGCCCACAATGCTGCTGTCCTTAATAGACTTCACCTAGTACCACGCCCAGCCTGCTCACACCGCCTGCCGCCATTAGCTTGCTGTAGATTGCATGGCTATTATGAAGCTGGCCACATGTAGAACTTCTCGAAACTTACACTAGGTCATGTTCTCCTGCCAAGGCTATCTTCAGGCTAGCAACCTCGCCACCAGCCTTCTCCTCAACAGCTGCTATATGCTTCAGCATTCCTATCTGACAATCGAACGGCACACTTAACTGGCCAAGCCAGAACCTGAGCCTTCTAGAGCCTCCCAATGTGTTATTGCAACGCATTTTCCCCATGTGTCTCCTTCACCTGGCACTACTACAGCACTAGGCTCACTCTATAGAGCCTTCTAGGCCAATCCTGCACAAGTCCGCCCAGTAGTACCAGGTGGTTCTCACCAAATTACCAGATAGATCCAGCTGGAACTGCCAGCTGGACTTCTAAGAGATTCCTCTCTCTCTCTCTCTCTCTCTCTCTCTCTCTCTCTCTCTCTCTCTCTCTTCTGTTTCTTGCCCTTCCTGTCTTCTTCTACCCTTGCCGCGATTTCCAGCCGCACAATCTCATAATCCAGTGGTGGCAAATGTTTGAATCGATCCCAACTTCTAGGCATTGTAGACCGTAGACCTTCTAAGCCTTCTATTCATCGCATGGAATTTCTACGGCTGTCCGTAGATTGTGCGGCCCATACCAATTACGCCGGCTGGTACCTCCCTCTTTTGGACCTCTTTCTGAAGAAAGCCTGGTTGACCGGGTAAATTCGGACTAATTGGAGCCCAGATTTAACAGCTACTGACGGATGTTCTCTTTGTGGATTCCCAGGCGCTCTCCCAATCCGTCAACCGTTTATGAGCCGCTCAATCCTATGCTGGACCGGTCAACGCTTTTGCCTCTCCCTCTAATGTGTTCTAGACCGTCGGGGCCTTCCTCCTCTAATCTCACCGGGCTTTCAGCCAGATCCAGCTGGTACTATCGGCTGGCTTCTCCAGAGCCTCCTCGGCCCTCTTGTCAAAAATCATGCGGCGCTTTCTGGGCGGGCGATTTTAAGATCGCGCCCGCTAATCCCCGCCTACATGCTGCAATGCCCTTCTTCACACCCCCTTCCCACTCCCCCTTGCATGAAAATCACACATCCCCACCTGCATGCTGCAATGCCCTTCTTCACACCCCCTTCCCACTCCCCCTTGCATGAAAATCACAAATCCCCTTCCTTCACCCTTTGTCTGCAAACCATCTTGGAACCAAAAGCATCTTGCACCTTCCTTCACAGAGCCCCTTGCACCCGTCTTGCACGCAAAAGCATCTTGCGATTCTCCTCGGTGTGTGTTATACTGTAATTGTGATGACTTGCCACAGGGAAAGGAAACCAGACTGGCATACCCCAGACAAAGAAGCATCGGCCGTGATGACTTGCCACAGGAAACGGAAACTAGAGTTCGATCCCCCTGACAAAGAAGCACCAAACCAAAAAGGACTGTTCTCTACCTATTTATAGTATTTTTAGACTGAAGAAATAAGGTGATTGTTTTTTTTTTCGGTTGGTGGTAGTTTGTTGTCATTTCCTCCCCCTCTCCGATTTCGCCACCCCCCCTTCCACCCCACCCCACCACCCCTCTCTGATTCAGTTTCCTGCTGCTGGTGTTTTTCCTTCTTTTACTCCCATGTTCCTCTCCTGTGCTCATTTCATGCACTCACCTCTGGGATGTACAAATGCTTCTCAGATAAGCCATGCTGCTTCAGCACTTTGGGAAGTAGGTGGCGAGTAGCAATCCCGACCTTCTCTCGTGTCGTGTATCCGGACAACTCGATCACCTCCATTCGATCAAGAAGAGGCGGAGTGATGGGATCTGCTCGGTTCGCTGTTGCGAGAAACACCACCTTAGACAGGTCAAATGGGACATTTAAATAGCTTCAATGGATGAATCAGGATGTGTGCGCACATGAGAGTTGATGGGAGTTCATGAAACACAGTTTTCATGCAGGTCGTCGACACACGGACAACGCACGCCATCGTCATCGTTAAGGAAGATAATCACCGCAGCGGCACAGCTTCATCACATTCATTCAGAGCACTTCAAACCAACAAACTTCATCGTTATACTCTTTACATTCTGATACTCGAAAGAAAACAGAACATTCACTCTGAGAAAACATGTTCTTTGAATCTCTTTTTTTCTCCAAAGGCCTGTTAGTGCCAAGAAGCTCCACCACACCAGGACAAACAGAAGCTCTTTATGCAAAGACAAAGAATTGACAGACTTTGGACTTTATGTCTACTGTCTTCCCCCGAATAGTACGTACGGTCATTATGGACGCATGTGGCTCACATTTCGGTCCAGATGCAGCGAAAATGACTGTACATTCTATTCGGGGGAAGAAGGTAGTAAAACCCCCTTCAGGAAAAGAAATAAAAACCCTCCAGGTAAAGAAAAATACATTGAAAGAACCAACCTAGCCCATGTGGGTGAACAGAACAGTACTCTACACACACGCAAGTAAAGTTAGTAAACAGATCACAAGCTCCAGTCTTGATGAAATCAGATAGATACAATCAGGGCGGCCGGCGTTTGGGACGGGCCGAACGCCCGAATGTATGGGACCCCTTGGGGATGCGTTCGGTCGTTCGGGCCGAACGTGGACCCAAAAAAAAATAAAAATAATAATAAACTCAGAAAAATCTGAAAAAAAAAACATATGTTATCTAGGCTACCAGAGTGGCCCGGGGTCACTTGCCCGGCCGGGCCAAAATAATTAAAAATAAATAAATAAATATTTTTTTTTGAATTTTATTTTTTATTTTAAATTTGGTGAAGAATTTCGATGTGACCCTGAGGCAAAAATTGTTCAGTTTATTTTTCTGCATAACATAGTTTTTTTTTCAGAATTTTTCGACTTTTTTTTTTTTTTTTTTTTTTTTTTTGCTGGGACCTTACCTGATCCTTGCACGGGCTGGCCACCCGGGACCTGGGCGGCCCGGCTGGTAGCCTAGTATGTTATGCAGAAAGATTAAATAAACAACATTTGCCTGAGCATTACATCCAAATTCCTTAGCAAATTTGAAATAAAAATAAAATACGGAAAATAAATACTAATAAGAAAAATAAGAAAAAATGAAAAGAAAAATTAGAGAATTAAAATTAGTGAGTGCGCAAGCCATTTTCGACACCGCCATCTTTGGTGATTTTTCTTTTTTTTTTGGCATTGCCAAATGCCCTGAAAATTTATACATGTGTAGATCAGATAATAAAAAACTCATGAAAAAAGGTTCAAAAAATAATAAAATTGTTTAGGCCCCGAAATAAAGTGAAAACAAAACGTAAAAAGTGAAAAAAAAAAACAAATGGTGGATGGGCGAGCAGGTTGTGACACCTCCATCTTTGGAGATTTTGCATTCTTTTTTGCTGAGCAAAATGACTTCAAAAATTATAGGCATGTTGCCATTTACCTAACATCATAGAGAACGCACAAAAATAAATTCAGAAAAATATATATATTTTTAGGTGCCGAAATAATTTTTGGCCAGGGCCGAACCCCTTCAGGTTCGGACCCCGAACAGGACCCCGAACGCCCGGACGTACTGAGGTCCGCCCGGGGGCCTCCGTACCTACAAGCTGGTAACCTTGGATATAATAATAATGTTAGCGGCCACCGCTTTTTACAAAATGAAAGTCGTCAAAAGAGCCAACGACTCGGGAAATTTTATTAATGGACTTCATGTCTAATAAAATCCCCCAATTTTTTTATATTTTTTTTTTATCTGCTAATACTGCTATTCATTTATTAAATAGTATTAATGCCTTCGCTAAGCAGGACCGAAGCTTTCAGAGCTGAGAGTCCATAGTTCAGAGTCTTCAGAGCCAGGCTACCAGAGTGGCCCTGGACCACTTGCCCGGCCGGGCCAAAAACAAATAAAAAAATAGAAAAAATAAGAACTATTTTTGAATTTTATTTTTTATTTACAATTTGGTAAAGATACTAAAGAATTTTGACATGACCCTGAGGCAAACGTTGTTCAGTTTATCTTTTTTTTGCATAACATAGTTTTTTTTCGGATCTTTTTCAGGTTTTTTATTTCTATTTTTTTTTGCTGCGACATTCCCTGGTCCTTGCACGGCAGGGCTGCCCGGGAAAACAGGGTGACCCGGGCAGCCTGGCTGGTAGCCTAGGTTCAGACCAATGAGCATGGGAGGTAAATCCAAGTGGCGCAGAGATGGATATTGCTCCGAGACGTAGCCCATATGGCTGAATGGTTACACATGTGCAAGGAAATGAGTGTGAACGATATACAGAAAACCAATGTTGCGAAATCACACAGACGTCCAGGTAGTCGTATCCAAGCACAGAGTACAAAATGCACCGAGAAACCATCCATATAGAGCAATACAATGAAGTAATGAGCCAATGTTCAAGCCCGTAGGCCACACCAACACAGTATCCAAAGTCGCTCCTCTCTGTCTGGCGCCCAGCGCCCAACCTACTCTGCCCGACTATCCTACCTACAGCTGGTTCACGCAACAGGCTCACTTCGACTCTCGAAGACCAATGTACATGACTGTCAACTCCATAGCCGACCTCTCTTCATGCACCAGGTACGCATCTCGTCACCCTCAATCAGACCTTGATTACCCCACACTTGCCTCCTTCCCTGAAGACCACCAGATCACCCGCTGTACCCCCTGGCGCCCAGCAGCCCGGCTATGGTCGCCTGCGCCCCGCTGCCCTGCAGCGCCCCACTTCACCACTACGCGCCCCGTCAGCACCTTTGGCAGCAGTGCAGCATCAAGCGAGAGCGCAGCAGCACTTCCGCAATGCCAGCACTGGCCAGAATGCCTGGCCTGGGCTGCCTCACTCCTTTTGTGGAAGTGGCAGCCTCCTGCATGCTCCGTGTGGCCTGGCTGGAAGCTTCCAGTAGCTTCCGGTTGGGCCTCAGACCCTGCGCCCAGGCCCGAGACTACAGTTGAGGGCCTGGGCCCATTACAGTTGGGCACGGCCTGAGTCTCCCGACTTGGGCTGTTTGCTGTATCTGTGCAGGGCTCCCAGGCAGGTGCGTCGGCAGTACTGCTTTTGTAAAGGCTGATGGCCTGCTTCCCAATGTATCGGCCCTGCTTTGTGTGTATGTGCCCATGCACAACTGTCAAGGCCTGGGCCAACTGTTTGACGCAGCAATGTGAGGCTCACGCGTCTACCCAACCAACTGGCGTGCTGCGAGAGCCTGAATACCCACATATGGAAATGTCGAATTTTGCCTCTGACGAAGCAATGTCAGGCCCGCCTTCACTTTAGGGCGGGCACTCGGCTTGCTGGGGGCCTTAGCCCAGATCACATGATGTCTGATAGGGCCCCTTGAGGGCTTGTTCCTCGCACATGTGATGCCATTACTCTTAATTTCTCTTAAACTACCAGTACCTTTCCCAGCCAAACTTTGCAAGCTGGACTCTATACATGGCCTGGTCTTCGGGGGTCAGGACCACTTCTGCAGGCCGTTGACGAATTTCATCAATGGCCTGCGGCCTGCGAAGTCGTGGTGCGTATACAGCCGTGTTGGAACAAAATACCTCGGAGACAAACCGGCGGTTTAATAAACAGATCGTGGATTTGAACCCTGATGGACTCAGATGCAAGTAATGTGATTGAGAGCGATTGAAGTAGTCCACATAGTCATGTACCAAGCAGAGAGCACAATGCACCAAGATAGCATCCAAATAACTTGAAATAAGAGCAATACAATGAACTCGAGTGCCAGTGACGACGCTCTCTGGTCACACCAACACTGTATCCAATGTCGCTCCTACTGTCTGGCGCCCAGCGCCCAGCCTACACTAAGCCTATCTATCCTATCTACGTTCATGTGACTGGATCCCATCGAAGTTGAAGACCATTGTGCATGACGTCATCACCAATGCAGACCATCAGTGTACACCAGGTACGTTCTCTCTACTCCCCTCATCACCCCTCGTCACCCCACCTCATGCGCCTCCTACCCGAAGACCACCATCGCCATCACCTGATACCCCACACTCGGCCCGGCTATGGCCGCCGTGCGCCCCCTGCCACTGTAGCGCCCTCTCACCTCTCTGTGCCCACGTGAGCCCTGGCCGGCTAGCGCTAACGCAGCAGCGCTTGGCAATGCAGCAGTGTGGCCGCTATGCCTCCTTAGGCCAGAATGCGGCTGCCTGGCCAGGGCACTTTCCTTTATCGAAAGTGCGGCCCCGTGTCTGGCTGCGTGGGCCTGGCTGAGGAAGTTTCCAGTAGCTTCCAGCCGAGCCCCAGTGTCCGTTGGTTTGCTGCATTCTCACTGGTTCGTGGAGGTTGTGTGACGACAATGCTGCTTTCTCATTTGTCCGTGGCCACAGCGTGATGTGTCGGCCTCCCACTGTGTGTGCTCAGGGCGCAACCAACTGGGGCCCTGGGCTTAACTGTGCAGCGCAGCTGTTGCTTCTGGAGATAGCCAGGAAAGGCTCACGTTGCTTTGTAACCAACTGGCGTGCTGCAACTGTCTGATACCCCACATATGGAAAAATGTCGAAAAGAGGCCTCATGTGAATATTCAAGCCCGCCTTGACTTAGGCCGGGCACAATGCTTGCTGGGGACCACAGCCCTGTCTGTGAGGACCCCGTGAGGGCTCAGTCCTCGCATAGGGATGTAGATCTTTCCAAGAGCTACAACCATAGTTGTGGCGCATCACGTGCGCACAAGTTGCGCACGTGCGCCGCAGCGCACATGCGCACACGTGCGCACGCACGTGATGCGGCGCATTTAAAAAGTAATAATAATTAAAAAAAAATCAGAAACGGTAGGTCGTCGTACCCATAGTGTCCCTCCCTTTTAAAAAGGGTAAGTACACAGAAAGAGAACATTTTGGGGCCTCGTCGTACTGCTCATTGGTTTGATTCTCCTTTCCAAAAAGTATCCTGCAAGCAATTAGCAGGGTTTCCATAACCTTTGGAAGGATGTGCATTGGACTGCTGGAAGACCACGCGTAGGCCAGCAATATATCCCGGATTCGGATTCAGGTCTGTGTTCCAAGAGTTATGGGTTACAAACTTGCCACAAACACTCCAGTAGTTGTCTCATTTTCTTTTTTTTCCCCTTTTCTTACGTGCAGTGGCCCTAAGGGCCTCGCTCCACTCATCAGCACTTGCAGAAAGAAAAACGGATGGCTTGTATGGTTCCAGTTTCTAGGAGAAGATTCATTCTAGTTTTGCGCATACAGTAGCTGTCTCGTTTTTTAGTTTTTCCTTTTCTTACTTGCGTGCAGTGGCCCTAAGGGCCTGGCTCAACTCATCAGCACTTGCAGAAAAGAAAAACGTATGGCCTGTATGGATCCAGTTTCTAGGAGAAGATTCATTCTAGTTTTGCACATTTCGTGAGTAGTGGAGTGAAGCCCTAACAATCACATGCTGAGTTAGTAAGTCAGTAACCCATAACTGCTGAAACACGGACCTGAATTCGAATCTACACCAGAGATAGCTGGCCTGCTCCCTCCTTACTACAAGTCGAGTGACTACCCTTCTCCTGCCGACGAAACCCTTGCCAATTTTTGGCAGGGACCTTTTGAAGTACCGGCAGGGGTTGTCTGAATAATGTGAAAGGGCTCTGTGCTCTCTCTCTCTCTCTCTCTCTCTCTCTCTCTCCAGCGTGTATACACACATCACCTTTTTTTTTTTTTTTTTTTGTGCGCGCGCGTGCACCTGGGATTGGTGCACTGCGCACCGCGCAGCGCAATCACCTACGCGCCGCAAGTATGGCTACAACCCCATATTTTTTATTTTATTTTTTAAACACTCGTTATATTTAAAAAAAAATCGAAATGATACTCTTGGTGCCAACCAACTGAGGTAGTCAGCTGGATCCTCCCAGTCGGTATCAGTAAGGTCTTCAGCCAGCACGGGCGTGAGTGCGCGTGTGAGTGGGGTGCGTGTGGTGTGTGGGAGAGTGTTGGCTTTAGACACTGCTGTTATTCGATGGGGTTGGGGGAAGATAAGAAGGGAGCACAGTTACTGGCAAATGCTCAGTCCTTGTTTCAGCCGGGCCCCCACTGGCAGCCCCAACCCTGCACCCTAAAGGCTAGGGCAGAGGGGCAAACATGCTGTTACCTCTCTCCACCGAAAGAGGTAACCTCACTTCACCGAAGTTAGGTAGAAAGCTATGCTTGCAGGGCCCCCCTGTGTAGCCTTAGGAGTAGTGGTAGGTAGCAAGGGTCCCCTGTATAGCCTTAGGAGTAGTGGTAGGTAGGTAGTAAAAGAAAGATATGTATATCTTTTGGAGGGGTACAACTCCATGTTTTTTTTATTGTTTTCTAAAACTTTATATGTACTAAAAAAAAAGAAAAACAACAAAAACCAAAAAACAAGACGTACACACACACACACACACACACACACACACACACACACACACACATGCACATGCACACATACACACGTGCACGCACAACACACACACACACACACACACACACACACACACACACGCACGCACACATGCGTACACACAACCGGGGCGGTTGGGGTTTGCAGGGGATGTTTGGGGGGTTGGGGGGGGGTATTTGGGGGGGGGGGGCACTGGGGGGGGATGATTTTTTTATTTTTTTTGTTTAATCGCACGGGGGTGCTGGGCCACGCACCTGAGCCCCCGTGGACCTTGTCTGTTGACAAAAGAAACGGCGGGAGGTCCCCCGTTTTTTATTCAATGGGAATTCAACGGGGGTATGGGGGAATTAAACAGCTTTCAACGGCCGTTTAATTCCAGCCCCCCCGTTGAACCGATTACTCACGAAAAGGATACTGGTCCGTGAAATTTTTATTCTGCTCAGGATCGAGAACTTCAAGGAGTGCTGCTGCAGGATCGCCCCTCATATCTGCTCCTGTCTTATCGATCTCATCCAGAAGCATCACTGGATTGTTCACAGCCACTTTCTGCACCACAATCCCACTCACCAACCAAGACACGGTACCATATAGCACCCCACAGAATAGCCCCAGATTGTGTCACAAATAGTAGCACACAGATATCAACACCCAGTTCACGCATAATATGCAGCGTAATACATCGAGATATCCGACAGTGTAACACAGATCATACAGCATGGACTTCCATGGAATTCATAACTTTTCACACAGTACGGCACATAATAGATCATAGAATTCAAAACACAGTGCAGACAGAAGTTCAAACAGACGAGTCTGAGAGGACAGATTACTCTCTTCTCAGAAGCAGAAACCAGTTGCACATGGCTGTCTTCACCAGAACACAATATGCATGGGCATTATCATCCGCTCACAATGGAACTCCTGTTTGATATGCCCCATACTTGCGTCGCGCGATGTGGTGTGGTCCGCCGTGCGGATGCACTCACCCACACCGCGTCCACATGTGTGCGCGTGCGCGCACCAGTTGCACCGTGCGCGATGCGCATCAAAATGCTGCCGGGCAGGGTGCTCCCTGTGCGCTGTGCCGTTTTCCTTTTTTTTTTTTTTTTTTTTTTG